TCCCTTTTCTTCACCTCCTCACCGGCACTTTTTGTTTGATTTGTTGATGGTAGCCATTCTGACAGGTGTGACATGATACCTCATTTTCATTTTTTTAAAATATATTTTATTGATTTTTTCACAGAGAGGAAGGAAGGATAGAGAGTTAGAAACATTGATGAGAGAGAAACATCGACCAGCTGCCTCCTGCACACCCCCCACTGGGGATGTGCCCGCAACCAAGGTACATGCCCTTGACCGGAATCGAACCTCGGACCCTTCAGTCCGCAGACCGTCACTCTATCCACTGAGCCAAACCGGCTACAGCTCATTTTCATTTTTATTTGCATCTCTCAGATGATTAGTGACTCTGAGCATTTTTTCATTGATCTCTTCGCTTTCTGTATGTCCACTTTGAACAAGTGTCTATTTGGGTCATTTGCCCATTTTTTAATTGGATTGTTTGTGTTTCTTTTGTTAACTTGTGAGTTTCCTATATGTTTTGCAGCTTAACCCCTTATCAGATGTATCGTTGAGAAATATGTTCTCCCATGTAATAGCCTCTCTTGTTTTGCTGATGATTTCTTTTGCTTGCAAAAGCTCTTTATTTTCATGTAGTCCCACTTGTTTATTTTTTCCTTAGTTTCCATTGTCCTAGGACAGTGATGGCGAACCTTGTGAGCTCGGCGTGTCAGCATTTTGAAAAACCCTAACTTAACTCTGGTGCTGTGTCACATAGAAATTTTTTGATATTTGCAACCATAGTAAAACAAAGACTTATATTTTTGATATTTATCTTATATATTTAAATGCCATTTAACAAAGAAAAATAAACCAAAAAAATGAGTTCACGTTTCACCACTGACACACGTGTTATAGGTTCACTGTCCTAGGAGATGTATTGGTAAACATATTGCTATGAGAGATATCTGAGATTTATGGACTATGGTTTCTTTTAGGACTTTTTTTTTTTTGTTTCTACCTCTTACATTTAAGACTTTTATTCATTTTGAGTTTTTTCTTGTGTATGGTGTAAGTTGGTGGTCTAGTTTAATCTTTTTGCATGTACCTGTCCAGTTTCCCCAACACAATGAAACAGACTCTCTTGTCTAAATTGTATGCTCTTGCCTCCCTTGTCAAAAATTGAGCACAGTGACTTGGGTCAATTTCTGGGTTCTCTATTCTGTTCCATTGAACTACATGCCTGTTCTTGTGGCAGTACCAGGCTGTTTTGATTACAGTGGCTTTGTAGTATAACTTGATAACTGCTATTGTGATCCCTCCATTTTTGTTCTTCTTTCTCAAGATTGCTGCAGCTATTTGGGGTCTTTTTTGGTTCCATGTAAATTTTTGGAGTGTTTATTCTAGGTCTGTGAAATATACCTGTGGTGTTTTAATAGGAATAGCATTGAATCTCTAGACTGCTTGGGGTAATAGGGACATTTTAATGATGTTATTCCGCAAATCCTTGAACACAGTATATTTTCCCACTTGTTTATATCTTCCTCTATCTCTATTTTCTTTTTTCTCTTTATTTAGATATTAATAATGTGTCCTTATCTCCCCATTGCCCCCCATACCCCCACTCACCCCCCGGTGTCTGTATCCATTGCTTATGCTTATATGCATGCACACAAGTCCCTTGGTTGATATCTATCTCTATTTTCAATGTCCTCTACTTTTTGGAGCATAGGTCTTTTACCTCCTTGCTTAGGATTATTCCTAAATATCTTAATTTTTTGTGGCAATGGTTAATGGGATTGTGTGTGTGTGTGTTTCTATTTGAGTTCACAATTGTTGTATAAAAATGACATATTTCTGGTTGCTAACTTTGAATCTTACTACGATTCTGAATTTATTGTATCTAGTAGTTTTTTTATTGCGTCTTTAGGTACAATATCATGTCATCTGTGAATGAGAGTTTTACTTCTTTCTAATTTGGATGCCTTTTATTTCTTCTTCTTATCTTATCACCATGTCCAGTAATTCCAGTACAATTTGAACAAGAGTGTGAAGGCGGATATTCTGTCTTGTTCCTGTTCTTAGGGGATATGGTTTTAATTTTTGCCCATTGAGTAGGATGGTGGCTGTAAGTCTATCATATATGGCCGTGGTTATGTTGAGGTATGTCCCTTCTATTCTCACTTTGCTGAGTTATTTAAAAAACAAACAAACAGGGTGCTGGATTTTTGTCTAATGCTTTTTCTGCATCGATTGATATGATCATGTGATTTCTTTTACAATCTGTTGTTTTTTTTGGTCTTGCAATCTATGTATGTGCTGTATCATGTTTATTGATTTGCAAATATTGTACCAGCCTTGCATCCCCAGAATAAATCCCACTTGGTCATGATGTTTGATGTCCTTATTGTATCGCTGGACCTGGTTTGCTAACATTTTGTCAGGGACTTCAGTGTCCAGGTTCATCAGGGATATTGGCCTGTAGTTCTTTTTCTTTTTTCAATATATTTTATTGATATTTTACAGAGAGGGAGAGGGATAAAGAGTTAGAAACATCGATGAGAGAGAAACATTGATCAGCTGCCTCCTGTACACCTCCTACTGAGGATGTGCCCACAACCAAGGTACATGCCCTTGACTGGAATCGAACCTGGGACCCTTCAGTCCGCAGGCCAACGCTCTATCCACTGAGAAAACTGGTTAGGGCCTGTAGTTCTTTTTCTTTGCCATATCTTTATCTGGTTTTGGAATTAGGATAATGCTGGCTTTGTAAAATGAGCTGGGAAGTGTTGTATACTCTTGGATTTGTGGGAATGGTGTGAGGGGTATAGTTGTTAGTTCTTTGAACGTTTGGTAAAACTCTGTTTCAGTAAGCCATCTGGACCAGACCTTTTATTTGCTGGGAGTTTTTTGTTTTAATTACTGCTTCAATTTCATTGGTAGTTATTGGTCTTTTCAGGTTTTCTGATTCTTCCTGAATGAGTTTTGGAAGGTTGTATTTTTCTAATATGGGCATTTTGTCCAGGTTGTCCTGTTTGTTGGAATAATGTCCGTCATAGTATTTTCTTACAGTCCCTTGTATTTCTGTGGGGTCAGTTTTTACGGCACCTCATTCTGTGTCTGTCAAGTCCACTTCCCAGTTCTTGCCATTCCCTGGGCATCTTTCCTGATTGTAAATTGTCTGCTCAGCTGCATGTAATTTGTTAATAACAAGTGGGTGCTCTTTGACTTAGTTGTATTTCCAGTTTGGCTCAGGACGAGATGCACAATACATCAGCCTATTTGGCCACCATTTATTTCATTTTTTTACCACTTTCTGATCCTTGCTGTTAAAACCAGCCAGAGTGACCTCCGTACAGCTTGCAAATGCACAGGGCAGGCTCCCACCTGGAGCCTGCCAACCCTTCCCAGACTTCCGCAGTGAAGACCCCCACTGACCAACGCTGGTTTCACCTCCCCCCATTGCTGCTGTCACCTCTCACAGGTATCCTGGTCCATTGTGTACTGTCCTCCACTAGATGCCAGTTCCCAAGGACAGGGGACTCTGTATTAGGGAAATCTGAAACGGTTGAGCTCAACATATGCAAAGCCACAGTCTTTATATGTGTCCCTTATGCCCACCCCTGGCGGGTGAGCCTCCATCCTGCCTGATTCAAGTTCTCATCCCTACAGCCTTCCCTCAGCCCACCCGCTCAAGGAACCTGGACCATGAGCTGGCAGGAACACGTTTACAGACACCCAAAATCTCTGCCCCCTCAACTGCACCCCCCAGCAGCACACTATTCCCCAGAATCCAGGAACTATGCCCTCATTTCAGGTCTTCCATGCACAGGCAAAACTTAGGGGCGGGGGCACACCAACCACAAATCATCCTCCAAATGTGGAATTATATTGAGACCAATCCTCTCCTTCTGGAAATGCTTGTATTACAGAATGTTCCCACCATTGAAAATAAACAAAACCATATCCTGGAGAATCCATGCTACCTCCAGGACGGCTGGGTGAGGGGATAGGAGAGAGGTGTGCTGTATTTTTAATAAAGTGCAAAATAATCCCTAAAATGAAAAAAAAAAAAAGAAACGTAAACACCAGTGGGTCTCAGGGGTGTGAATGGGTTGGTGGGAGGCAGGATTTTCTAAAGGTGAACTGATTTCAGGGCCCATAGCATCAGGGGGCTTCTCCCAGATACAGAAGTAGGTTCATTTGCAGCAGGTCAGGTGCCTGCGGGTGGGGAGGAGCAGGCTGGAGAGGCCTCTGGATGGAGACAGAAGAGCCCTGGCCAGTACATCTCAGGCACACACAGAACCCCAATCCCTACCAGGGCCTTGCCTCTCTGGCAAACACTGGGAAGGGCACAGTGAGCCCACCTGCAGTGGGAACGTCCTAGGAGAAGGCAGGAGTGAGCAAAGGTGGGTGGTGCCGGCAGAGGCCCCATCTCAGGGCACCAGGGTGAATGTTTGGATTTTTTGGTAATCCTCACCTGAGGATATTTTTCCATTGATTTTCAGACAGAGTGCAAGGGAAGGGGGAGAGGAAGGGAAAGACTGGGAGAGACATCAATGTGAGAGAGAAGGAAAAATTAGATGCCTACTACAAAGCTCCATGGGGCCAGGATCAAACCTGCAAATAAGAACCACAAAGTCACGCAGTCTTTATTTCAAGGCCGTGGGCAGCAATGCACTAAAAGCCAATATTGGTCAAAGAGTGATTTCCTGGCACTATGCTGTCCCTCCTAAAGCACAGAAACGTTGGGATCCACACAATATCTGTAAATTATACAACGGAGACCACAATAGTGCTTGATAATCATCCCTGGGGGTGAATATAACCAAGAAAATTAAAGGTACTAAAGAAAAAATACCTTTACTAAAGATCACAAACCAGAAAACAGGACAAGGCGGTTTGCAGGTTGGTGAATCAGAATTTGAAACAATTCATCACAGCATTATGTGAGAACCACATGTCCCGGACAGAGTCCGCACTTCTTAGCTGAGGAAGGTGCCCTGTATGAACCCTGGGTCAGGTGCATTACCTCCTCGGAGATAAATGAAGATCCTGTCAGGAGCAGAGGGTTCCTAATGTTCTCAAGCACAAGTGACAACACAAAATACATTTCCCCTGAGCACGCAGTGGTTGGGACTGATACACACTCTTCAGGTCAGCCAGGTGGTAGAGGGGAAATCTCTTCAGGCACAAATCAATCAGGTAGAAGACCTGGGCATGTTACAAAGTGCAATGCACCTCGTTTAAGCTTCACCTGTACTGGAAACATGAGGAATCTAGAAGAGTGTATGTTCCATTAAAAGGGGTTTAAATTCAGGAAAATAGGTCGCAAAGAGTCTCCTTCATTGTTGTTATTCTAAGTGAATAAAAGGAAACATTCCCTGCACATTTAACACTTCTCTCCAGTGTGAACTCTCAGATGTTTATTAAGGTAGGCTTTTCGGCTAAAAGACTTCCCACATTCAGTACACTCATGTGGCTTCTCTCCAGTGTGAACTCTGAGGTGTACAGTGAGGTGATCCCGTATACGAAAGGACATCCCACATTCTCTGCACTTATATGGATTTTCTCCTGTGTGAACGCTGTTGTGTCGTCTGAGGTTAGACCTGTAATGGAAGGATTTCTCACAATGTCTGCTCTCATATGGTTTCTGTCCAGTGTGAACTCTGAGGTGTACAGTGAGCTGAGCCTTTCTACGAAAGGACATCCCATATTCTCTTCACTTATATGGCTTTTCTCCAGTGTGAACGCTGTTGTGTTGTCTGAGGTTAGACCTGTAACGGAAGGATTTCCCACATTCCTTACACTCATATGGCTTCTCCCCACTGTGAACTCTGAGGTGTACATTGAGCTGAGCCCTTGTACGAAAGGACATCCCACATTCTCTACACTCATACGGCTTCTCTCCGGTGTGAACTCTGAGGTGTCTAGTGAGCTGAGTCCTTGTACAAAAGGACATCCCACATTCACTGCACTTATATGGCTTTTCTCCTGTGTGAACTCTGTTGTGTTGTTTGAGGTTAGACTTGGAGCTGAAGGATTTCCCACAATGTCTGCACTCATATGGTTTCAGTCCAGTGTGAACTCTGAAGTGTACAGTGAGCTGAGCCTTTCTACGAAAGGACATCCCACATACTCTGCACTTATATGGCTTTTCTCCAGTGTGAACGCTGTTGTGTTGTCTGAGGTTAGACCTGTAACGGAAGGATTTCCCACATTCCCTACACTCATATGGCTTCTCCCCACTGTGAACTCTGAGGTGTACATTGAGCTGAGCCCTTGTACGAAAGGACATCCCACATTCTCTACACTCATACGGCTTCTCTCCGGTGTGAACTCTGAGGTGTCTAGTGAGCTGAGTCCTTGTACGAAAGGACATCCCACATTCACTGCACTTATATGGCTTTTCTCCTGTGTGAACTCTGTTGTGTTGTTTGAGGTTAGACTTGGAGCTGAAGGATTTCCCACAATGTCTGCACTCATATGGTTTCAGTCCAGTGTGAACTCTGAGGTGTTCCATGAGGTGGGTCTTCTGACGAAAGGATATCCCACATTCACTGCACTTATACGGCTTTTCTCCTGTGTGAACTCTGTTGTGTTTTTTGAGCTTAGAGTTGTAACTGAAAGACTTCCCACAATGTTTGCACACATATGTCTTCTCTCCAGTGTGAACTCTCTGGTGTCTAACAAGTGAAGGTCTTTTTCTGAAGAACTTCCCACATTCATTACACTGATACTGCTTTTCTCCAGTGTGAACTCTATGTCGAATGACGTTCAAGTTTCGTATAAACACTTTCCTACATTTGTTACACTCATAAATCAGTTCTCCAGAACACACACCCTCACACTGAACAACTTTCAGGTTGTGGCTGGCAGCGTTTCCACATTCATCCCACCGGTGATGACTTTTTCCACGGAGAAATTCCTGTGAAATCTCACTGCTACAGGGTAGCTCCTCAGTGTTGAGAGTGGCCTGGTGCTGGGGAAGCTCTGACTTGGATTGCAAGTCTTCCCCAACCTCCCTGCTGGTTGAAGGCACCGAAGGTAAGGAGAAGCTGCACCTGCTCACAAAAGAGGTCCCGTCCATAGCTTCTTTCCAGGGCCCCTCTCCACATTCATTCTTTTGTTGCTGGTGAGGGTTTACACTGAAACAGAATTCTCCAACACATGCGTCGCTACAGAAGGCTTTCTGCTCAAAGTACGCTGCATGTGACCCAGTCGGGTGCAAAATATGTTGCAACAGAGAGAAACACCGCTTACAGAGATGGTTCTTATGGGTGTCTTGAGCTGTCTTAGAAGTCCGGACCTGTAACTTGCCTTGTCTACATACTTGCTGATCAGAAGAGGCCTCCTCATCTTCCATTTTATGCCAACAACCTGAAAAGTGAGAAATGGTGAGGAAATGAATGTTGAATGTGGTGGCAGGGGGAAGTCCCATTGCAAAAGTGTGTTACACATCACACGTTGGTTCCATGCAATTGTCTGAAAATAAGAGATGTGCAGGAAGGATTAATAACAGGCTCTTGTGACTTTCTACGCTAATGAAGATCACAAAACAGGGAGGCCTCACCAGAAACATGGCAAGCACCACATGGATGAGAATATGGATCTCCAGCCCATCCTTCAACTAACAGCATTATGCACGTATTGTTTACCGGGGATGGGGGGTGGGGGAGAGCTGTGGAAGAAGTTGTTTAGGTCTTACTCCAAGTAAAATTCAATAAAGGAGTAGCTGGTTTCAAGGACTAATTAGCACTTCTATGCACATATCACATGTACAAGTCAACGTTGCAGATTACTGCAGAGGCACCAATGCAGATGAACAGGTGATGAAGAAGTGAGTAGTCTGCACTGGGCCAGAGCTAAACAGCTTGCTATAGTATTCAGGGAAGAGAATATTACATACATTTGAACGGGGGCCTTACCAAAACAGCCCATGGTTTATGTAGGTAAAGACCATAATGTGGCACAAGAACGCATACCAAGAGAAAGAGGGCAGAAGGTGAAGTCATGCATGTGGACACTGTCAGCTTCCCATGAAGAGAAAGTGCAAGCTGGGACCCATTAAACTCACTGCTAGGCTCTTGACTCCCTGACACTTCCTGTACTTTTTGAGGTTACGGGTGTTAGGGATGTTCCTGGAGTCCTTTACTCAGGGCTCCCCATCCAGCTCATCCCTGGCAGCCACAGCACATTTGACAGGACAGAGGGGGACATTAGCAGAGGCCATGTTCTGGCTGTGGGAGAGAGAAAGCTACGCCTGAGGTGTAAAGAAAGAGAGGTCATCACCTCAGGACACTGGGAGAATGTGAAGGTCTTACCTACAGATGATACAAGGGCAAACACTTCCAGCATCACATCCTGGTACAGAAGTCTCTGAGCATCATCCAGGATCACCCACTCCTCTTCAGAGAAGGCAATGGCCACGTCCTCAAAGTTCACATCCTGTCATAATTGGGACAGTACAGCCCATGATCAGAATCACGCCTAAGATTATAAGTCTGTCATATTCCCCACCCATCTGCTCTTTGCACGCTTCACATCCCAGAAAATACCAGGCCTTCATCCCACCAAAGCCACTGTCTTCTTATTGAACAACACTTCTCTCACACAGCTTCTTTCCCAGACGCACAACTTCAAAGGTAGTGCAAATTGTCGTGGCGTGGATATATTATTTCCTAATCACCTCTTTTCCAAAAATATAGGTCACCATCTCCATAATCTATTTCTCTCTTACCCTTCACCCTTACCCGTGCCAGTGGAGATTTACAAGCCTGGGTACCATTGATGAATGCTATCTCATTCCCATCAACCAGTGTGTCACTCCCAACAACAAAAAGCAGGTGGTTAGTTAAATGGCACCTAAGCTCTTAACCTAGAATGTGGCACCCACACACCGCTCTTTACAGGCAATTACCCTAAAATTCACCTTACTGTTCCATCCAGGCACCACCAGAAATGGACTCTTCCTTCATTCACTCTTATGTCAATGTCATGGTGCTGTCGCCATGAATTCACATTCCCTCTCCAAGTGCACATCACTCCATCTACCACACCTCTCTCAAACCTGCACTTCCACAGCTCCTGCCCCCATACTCATCTCCCGGCCTTTACTTATTACTCAGCATGTGTGGTCCAGAGGACGGTTGCCAAACTGAATCAGGATCACGTACTGCCCAGTATCTGATAGTCCACACTCATAGTGGCAGCCTTGAGTGGTGCTATGTAAGTCTCTCTCCATGACTGCTTTTTTTTCCCCTTCAACCCCAACTATTAAGAACAACAATCAGATCTCAGATATCCATAGCCCATCTCCTGTTATGCTGCACTTGATGTCCCTTCACTATTCACAGCCAACATCCCTCACTTAACCTTCACTCAAGTCCCAGCCCCGATGGCCCTCTGCACCATGCCCAGTGAGTCTCACTCAAGCCTCTAACCCAGTGATGGCGAACCTATGACACGCATGTCTGAGGTGACACATGAACTCATTTTTTGGTTGATTTTACTTTGCTAAATGGCATTTAAATATATAAAATAAATGTCAAAAATATAAATCTTTGTTTTACTATGGTTGCAAATATCAAAAAATTTCTATATGTGACACGGCAACCAGAGTTAAGTTAGGGTTTTTCCAAATGCTGACACGCCAAGCTCAAAAGGTTCGCCATCACTGCTCTAAGCTAATCCACAAAACGAACTTCAACTCCCCACAGCCAGGCCACACTGAGGGTCACAACAACATCCTGGTGAGAGTTTAGAAAACGTGTATGTACCAACCCTAGACTCTTGTTATTTGAATTACTCTTCGGCCTCCAGTTAATCTCAGGTCACTCATCTTTTGAAGGTATTTGCCACTGCAAAATGATTATTTCTCCACCACACTCTACATGACAACTTCCGTCCTTATGACAACCACCTCCCACAGTGGCCACAGCATGAAAGCCAGTCCTGGTGCAGAATGTGAGGCTATTGCTAGGCCAGCAAGCATTCTACCCTCTGGCCTCGCCCATAGTGTGCAGCGGTTGCTGGGCGCCAGGGAGCCTCCCGCCAGCTGGGTGCTAAAGGAGTCGTGGCTATCCAGACATCTGATAAGAGGACTCCTAACAAGATATTGTCACTGTAACCCTTAAATATCTGCATCATCACATTTACCTCTAAATTTCACCGGGTATATAAAGAAATCTTTGCCCAGTCCGAGGAGCAGCAGGCACGCGCAGCCTGCCCCCATCCGAGAAGCAGCAGCCTCTTGAGCAGCCCACCCCAGTCTGAGGAGCAGCAGCTGTGCGAGCAGCCCTCCCCCACCCACCAGAGGAGCCACCACTGCTGCGAACAGCACCCATTATAGGAGCCACTGCCAACTGAGAAGCAGTTGCTGCTGTGAAGGCCCAGTGGGCAAATGCAGCCCGAGGAGCCACTGCCACCCAAGGAACAGGGCCTGCAAGAATCCATATCTAGATCTGTCGGTGAGATAAAAAATGGGTACACAGAAGAAACCCCCAAAGGAAAGAAAAGGAGGCATCACCAGATAAGCAGCTAAGTAGAACAGAGGCATGCAATATGTCAGAAAAAGAATTCAGAATAAGCGTCATACAGTTCATAAACAGGATGGATGAAAAAAAGAAATAACTTATGTAAGAATCAAGAAGAAATAAAGAATGACATAGCTGCAATAAAAAATACCATGTAATGTTTCAGCAGTAGAGTAGGAGAAGTGGAAGACCAAATTAGTGAATTAGAAGACAGGGAAGCAGAATACAACCAAACTGAACTGAAATTGGAAAAAAAAATTAAAAGACAGCAGGAGAACCTAAGGGAGCTATGGGACAACATGAAACGATCAACATACAAATAATAGGGGTGCCAGAACAACAGGAAGAGGAACAATGGTTAGAAAACCCATTTGAAGAAATAATGTCAGAAAACTTCCCTGGCCCTGACCAGTTTGGCTCAGTGGCTAGAGCCTGTGGACTGAAGAGTCCCGGATTCTATTCCGGTGAAGGGCATGTACCTTGTTTGCAGGTATATCTCCAGTAGGGGGTGCACAGGAGGCATCTGGTCGATTTTTCTAACTCTCTATCCCTCTCCCTTCCTGTCTGTAAAAAATCAATGAAATATATTTAGAAAAAAAAAGAAAACTTCCCTGATGTGGAAAAGAAAATAGTCATGCAAGCACAGAGTCCCAAACAAGATGAACCCGAAAAGACCCACACCAAGACACATCATAATTACCATGGCAAATGTTCAGGACAAAGAGAGAATCATAAAGGATGCAAGAGAGAAACAGAAAGTTACGTACAAGGGCTCTAAACCATTAGATTATCAAATGACTTCCCAACAGAAACACATCAGGCCAGAAAAGAATGGAAGGAAATTTACAAAGTGATACAAAGAAAGGGACTAAGTCCAAGAATACTCTCTCCAGCAAGGCTATCATTGAAAATTGAAGGGCAAATAAGGATCTTCACATACAAAAAAAAGCTAAGGGAATTTATCACTACCAAGCCAGCAATGCAAGAAATGCTAAAGGGAATGGTGTAAAAAGAAGAAATAACAAGGGAAGAAAGAACACAGGTACAAAAAATAAAAATGGCTACAAATAACTATCAGTAACTTTAAACATAAACGAACTAAATGCTCCAATCAAAAGACATCGAGCAGCTGAATGGATAAAAAGAACATGACCTATATATATGCTGTCTACATGAGACACACCTCAGAACAAGGGATTCACACAGACTGAAAGTGAAGGGATGGAAAAATATCTTTCAGGAAAACAGAAATGAAAAAAAAAAGCCAGGGTAGCAATATTTACATCTGACAAAATAGACCTCAAAATAAGGGCCATAACAAGAGATAAAGATGGCCACTTCATAATATTAATGGGAACGATATAACAAGAGGAGACAACCGTGATAAAAATATATGCACCCAATGCAGGAGCACCAAATACATTAAAAAAAACTCCTGGAAGATATCAAAGGAGAGATCGACAACAATACAATCATAGTAGGGGACTTTAATACACCACTGACATCACTGGATAAATCCTCTAGACAAAAAAATCAGCAAAGAAACAGCAATCCTAAATGACTCACTAGATCAGATGGACTTAATTGACATCTTCAGAACATTTCACCCCAATGCCATGGAATATATGTTCTTCTAAGTACACATGGGACATTTTAAAAATAGACCACATATTTGGTCACAAGCAAAGTTTCCTCAAATTGAAGATTGAAATCATATCAAGCATCTTCTCAGACCACAATGGCATAACATCCTATCTAATAAAAGAGAAACATGGTAATTAGCCGTAACTTCGCTGCCTTTCCCATTGGCTAATCAGGGCAATATGCAAATTAACTGCCAACCAAGATGGCAGCCGGCAGCCAGGCAAATGACGCGAACAGGAGGCTTGCTTGCTCCAGTGATGGCGGAAGCCAAGCTTCCCCGCCTGCTGCTGCTGCTGGGCTCTGAGCTGCTCTCTAAGAAACATTGCTACAAATATAGAAGCTAAACAAAACCCGAGATACCTGCTTTCAGCCAGCCGGGATCTCAGAGCTGGAGTCGCAACAAAGTTTCAAATACAGAAGGTAAACAAAGCCCAGAAACCTGCTTTCAGCAGCTGAGGTCTCACAGCTAAAGCCAGCTCTCAGCTCCAGTGACAGCCATAGAAGGTAAATAAATGCCAGAATAAAAAAAAAAAAAAAAAGGAAAAAGGAGAGGTTGGGAGCTTCAGTCACCCGCCAGCCTGAAAACGGCCCTCAGCCCCTCAAGCAGACTGGCCAGGCACCCCAGTGGGGACCCCCACACTGAACGGGGTGTGACCAGCTGCAAACAGCCATCATCCCCTCACCCAGGCTGGCCAGGCACCCCAGTGGGGACCCCCACCCTGAAGGGGGTGTGACCAGCTGCAAACAGCCATCATCCCCTCATCCAGGCTGGCCAGGCACCCAAGCGGAACCCCCACCCTGATCCAGGACACCCTTCAGGGCAAACCAGCTGCCCCCACCCGAGCACCAGGCCTCTATCCTATATAGTAAAAGGGTAATATGCCTCCCAGCACCGGGATCAGTGGATCCACGAGGCCTCCCAGCACCGGGATCAGCGGAGCAGCGAGGCCTCCTAGCAGTGGGATCAGTGGAGCCACAAGGCCTCTTGGCTCATGGAGCAGCGTGACAGGGGGCAGTGACCAAACCCCCGGATCGCCCTGCGGCTCTGTGTGTGACAGGGGGCGGCGCCACAACCTCCCTATCTGCCCTGCTCTGTTTGTGACAGGGGAAGGCGCCCCAACCCCCTGATCGGCCCTGCTCTGTGCCTGATAAGGGGAAGCTCCCCAACCCCCTGATGGGCCCTGCACTGTGTGTGACAGGGTGTGGCACCCCAACCCCCCATGGGCCCTGATCTGTGTGTGACGCGGTGGAGCCACAACCTCCCCATTG